TTTTTTGAATTCCATGCAATCGTTAATGCTTAGTAAATTGTTGTTGTATCTTATGACGAGATCATATATGGATGTTATCAAAAAGGTCATATTACTGCTTAAACCATCGTACAAGTTACTATGTTTCGTTAGCTGTGAGAACAATAATCATTAACTCTTTATAGTAGAAACTTATTGAAAAATTAATTAATGCAGTGATAAAACCGGGAGGTGCAGACTTTCTCAAACATCTTATCTTATAAGTTAAGTAAAGATAATACAACAATATACTTTTTCTGAAGAAAAATAAAGGTTGTTAAGTTAAACTTATTGTCAAGTATCATATACCGGGTGCACCAGAAGTTTCGCGACATTTTTTATTTCGCATTATCTCGGCGTAAGTAGAGGATATAATCTTGAATTTTTTAAAAAGATGCGCCTTGGAAGCTGTACAAGAATGGTAGAAACAAATCTTGGTTAACTTATACTAATAGTCCTTTCCATACTTAAAATGACAGACGTCTATGATAGTGCTGCGGGTCATCGTAATGAATATGATAAAAAAAAATTTTTGGAAGAATTTTTTATTTTCGATGTATCTCGATGAGGAAAAATGATAAAAGCTAAAATTTTTTTAAAAAGATACGCTGTCAAAAGCTCTACACAAACCCCATGTACGGATACTTATTAGGCTTTTGTAATCATTTTTCTGAGTGATTAAAAGTGAAGATCTGCGTGAAGTAGATTTCTGATGTCCCAAAGCTTTTGCAGAATTCTCTATTTGTATTGTATCTCGCCATAGATAAAATATCAAATTTGATTTTTTTTACAGATGCACTAGAAAAAGGTCAGCAGAATGTGATAGAAAATTTTTCTTGACTTTTCTAACGGTATTTCTCAGACTTAAAATGAAGAACTCACGCTATATTGATATTTCTCACCTTATTAAGCACGATAAAATATTTTGGAGAAATTTTTTATTTTGCAAAAATCTCGACATAGGTAAATGATCAAAACTTAAATTTTTTTTAAAGATGCGCTATGAAAAGCTCTGCACAAGCTGTATGAATAGATTCCTATTGAAAAAACAAAACAAAATTTCAAACGCATTTATCATGCTCAATGCGATGGTCTACAGCACTAACAAAGACGTCTTTCATTTTGAGTATGGAAAGGACCATTGACATAAGGCAACCAAGATTTATTATAATCATCGTTGTACGGCTTTCCGAGGCGCATCTTTTTTAAAAAATTCAAGATTATATCCTCTACTTACGCCGAGATATATACAAAATAAAAAATGTCGCAAAACTTCTGGTACAACCGGTATATGTGCCGCTATCATTCACGCAAATTGTTACATCTATTAATCAAACTCTTGAAAGTAGTCTAACATCAAGGTTTTCAGCAGTATACGACTTTTCAAAGAGAAACCTTCCTTTTTTCGAAAAATATAGGAATATAGGAAATTTTAGAAAAAAATAGGACATTATAGGACTGATTACAAAAATATAGGAAATATAGGAAATATAGGACGACTACAAGGCCAGGATTATTTAAGGAGGTGGACGACAACAATTGTCTATAACAACTTAAAAATCGAATAAATGAGACAAAAATGTTCTTTTCACAGAACAATTGCTTTCAGAAAGAGCGAAAGTTGTTGTTAGAAACAAAAAACTCGAATTTAATCTGATCATGGGCCTCCGTTTTGATTACGTATATTATGAGCGACAAGTTTAGACGGCAATCATACACAAGCCGTTATTCATGATTAAGTGCGGATTTAGACGACGAGTTATGTATGCATACCAATGCATGATCGCCTTAATCATGCATAAGAGCCCATATAAACATAGGGTAAGCGCTCATAGAGGTTTCATAGTTATATATGGCAAGATGTCTATCAAACTTACACTATGTTTAGACGGCGAGTCTATTCACGATTAAAGTTGTGCTTGATTGGAAGTTGTGCATGCACACGTATAAACATCCTTTTTCATTAATCATGATTAGTAATGCATGCATGCACAACTTGTTTCGTCTAAATGTGTATGCATGCATAATCCAGTAATCAAGCATTCGATTGAAGTACAAAAGGGAAGACTGCGTAGTGTATTGATCATTCTCATAAATACATCCTCTCACTGTCTACTCATTTATGAAGCGACACAAGTCAATTGTCTCACAAGAGTACAGTAGCAGACTCATTTCCGAATCTAACCAAACAGTTCGTTTATTGCCAATAGTAGTCGTGTTATTGTTGCTAGTCATTTTGATATTGTTCTTATCCAAAAACAATTTCATATTTAAAAAAATCTGAAAAAATCTATTTAAATCTTTCAATTGCAGTTATTTAACGAGGTAGACGACAATTGTCTATAACAGCTAAAAATCGAATAAATGAGATAAAAATGTTCTTTTCACAAAAATTCCTTTAAGAAAGAGCGAGAGTTATTGTTTGAAATAAAAGATTCCAGTTCAATCAGATCATGAGCCTTTGTTTTGATTGCATATACTATGAGCGAAGCGTTTAGACGGCAATCGCGTACACATATGCATGCATAGTGCTATGTATGCACAGAGTTGTGCACGTTTAATACATGCATAATTTTAATCATGCACAAATCGTTATTCATGATTAAGCGCGGTTTAGACGACGAGTTATGCATGCATAGCAGTGCATGATCGTCTTAATCATGCATAAGAGCGCCGTATAAACATAGTGTTAATTAGGTTAAAACAACAAAAAAAATGATTTGTTTATGCAGTGCGAAGCACAAAATTTATGTAGTCCTTTGGGCAGTTTTTTCTTTTACTTTGTCGACGTACGGATGAAAACTTGTCCCTTTGTGACCGAACGATCTCGACGACGGAAAGTCATAAAGTGCTCTTGACACTCTAAGTGAAAATATCGACATCAAACTATTTTTTTTTCAATTTTCCTTTCAAAGCATTTCGTTCGTCAGCAAATCGTTCCAAAAAAGACAAAATTTTCAAAACTTGTTTTTTTGTTTTGAGATAATTAAAAAAACGAAAAAGAAACAAAAGTTAGACGCCACTCTCTTAGCTCATCTGTCAAACAGCCGTAAGTGCAGCTGATCATAGATAATGAATCATTCCGATAAATAAATGATCAATCAACAGTATTCTTTCTTTAAGAAGAAAAAAACATCAGCATTCTCAGAAGATTGTTTCTAAGCTTTTCTAGCGTTTCTATAGTTATGAAGTTTCTTATGAGTTCTACAATTAATTATTAATGCGATGCGAAGCACAAATCTCGACATTGATTCGAAAATCGATTTTTTGTTTTTTATCAGATATCGTTTTTCCGAAATATCGAGATTCGTGCCTCGCACCGCATTTCGTATTCGACGTGTTTTGCTTTGACATTTTCTGTTTCGATCTTTTTCATACAGGCCATTGTAACATTGCACAATTGATAAAAAAAAAATGAATATATCGTTTCAGAAAATTACAAAATCAAAAGGTAAAAATATTGTCATAAAATTTTTTTTTTCTTGCTGAAAACTCCATATCATGTAGATTACATCTTATCTATTGGTTTTCCTCGTTCATTCTTATTTTTTATGGTTTTATTATTATTTCTACTTTTCATTTTTTATCGATGTCAATTTTCGTCTCTCGCATTTATCGTATCTACATGTAAAAATTCAAATAAAAGACAAAATTCTACTATTCAAACAAACAGATCATCTGAGTTAACTAAAATTTTTGTTGTATCACATTTTAAGGAAAACTTAGATTGGCTTGATTTGTTGATGATAAAATTCCATATATTGTTTATACACGATCAGATAAGCCATTAGTACATCATCATCATCATCAGATTAGAATCAATAGAAGCAGAAATCCTGCAGCTTATCTTCGATATATAATTGATCATTATTCAAATTTACCATCATCAATAGCTTTTGTTCATGGACATCGAACATCTTGGCATCAAAGAGATCCGTCAGATATTGTTACTGCATGACGAGCATTACAATGCCATAAATATAATTATATGCCATTAACTAATAAAAAGACTGAGTATGAAGTTAAACAGAATTCAAGAAATCGTCAAGACAGAGTTAATTCTAATTTATGGAAAGCGGTTTAAAAAAAGAACTTGGTCCTGCACCAGCAAATGGAATACGAACACATTGTTGTGCAACATTTGCTGTTAAAAGAGAAGCTATTCTTACTCATCCAACAATAGTTTATTCAAATATTCTTGATTATCTTCTGACTACTAGTTATTCAGATTATTATACAAGTAGAACACTTGAATATGCTTGACATATCATGTTTGGTGAACCAATACATATTAATTATACAACATGTGATATATTTTTGTGTGATTCTAGTGGGAATATTTCTGTTCCATTGGCTAAAAACAAAAAAAAAATGAATAATTACTTCGGACAATCCAAAAATAATGACAGAGATACTTTACTTTCGCGTAGAAACCTTGAAGAAATTTTCTTTTTTTATGTAGTGATAAAGAAAATGGTGCTCTAGTTTTCTGTGGTATTTAATCATTATTCAACTAATATCATAAGAATAGAATTTCGATAAGGACTATATTTTATTTAAAACTTGACTAGAGTGAGTCCAGATGTGGATGTGGGTATGAAAGTGGGTGTGGGTGTAGGTGGTTGCGTGTGTGGTTGAACAGGACATTCACACGCAGCAAAATAATCTTTTAACACGGTGACTTTGTAATTAATTCAGTTTTATCTTGTTCGATTCTGTTTCGTAATAATATCTGGTATTCGACTATACCGCTTAATTACCTTATTTTTGATAGTTTTAATCAGTTTGCGGCAATTATAGAAAATCTCAGAAGTTTCTTATTTTTATATGGTTGGGTGGATCATGAACTACTTTCGAATCATATAGCTTTCATTTTGTTTGCTTTGCATCTTCCTCAGAAGTTTGATAAATTACAAGAACTGATCCGATGTAAGTTTTGCACGCTGATTTTCCCGTAGGACTTAATTCATTAATGATGAAAACTGCTTTGGATGGAAAACATCGAACAAACTTAAATGTGAAAAAAATATAACATAATACTGATTTGAAATTGACAAGAAAATTGAAATTTAGTATTAAAATTGTGGCTATTTTCGTATGTATAAAAAAACAAGTTTCTTTTTGGGAACAAAATATTTGATCAGTAAAACAGATTATACGATCAGTAAAAAAATAGCTGAAGGATCAGTAAAAAAATAGATAAATGATCAGTATAAAAATTGAACGATCAGTCCTAAAAGTATCAGTAAATAATAATAGAATGATCAATATGTTATATATAATTACTAGTAAAAATATACAATTTATTCCAGTAGCAAATACAAATTTGATCAGTACAATATAGAGATTTTACCAGTAGAAAAATACGTCTTAACCACATTAAATAGAAAGTTACCAGAAAAGAAATTTAAATAATTACAGAACAATCCAAAAGAATGTTTTATAGAAATCTAAAGAGTAAGTGAGAAAAGAGAAAATGAATATAAAAATGAAATTATTGGACTACCAAACTAGGCTTAGTCTTAGTTGGTCTATCTCTTTTTCGTTTCTCGCCAATGCGGACTCTTTTTGTGGCTGCTTCTCGTTTGCAATATATTAAACGAATAAGCATATTCTTCCACAACTTCATGGAATAAATCGCTTGCATATTATGCAACCTATACTATTTTCATCTTTTTCACTCATTAAAATTTAAGTGATGATGAGCGAGAGGATAAAAGTAAAGAGTGTATATATTAATGTCCAATCTTAGATCTACTTAGGTCAAGCTGAAGTCTCATTCTGGACCAGTGCAATACCAGGTTGGAAAAGCAGTTTTCGTTAAAGGTTTCACTAGTCGCTAGATAGATATTTCATTGGAATATATATTACTGAACTAGATTAAAACAATGGTATTCCGATAATGCGATCATCAATGAAGAAACCAAGTTTAAACACGAACACTTATGAATAATTTTCTATAACAGCTGATCTGCTATACAAACTTATTCGCAAGTACTAGAATCCTAAATTAATTTTTCTATCGAC